CCCCCCCCGACTTTCGAACAGCAGGTCGTCTCGAGAGTTAAAGGCGATAAGAGGAGAGTCAAGGGAGGGTTTAGGGTTTAGGGTTTTTGATCCCTGAGCATCTGTTGGTAAGACTGGCAAAACTCAAAGTCGGGAAGGGACTACCAGCGGCAAACAGCTGCAATACACTCTGACCAGATACCTACGAGGGTTGGACACGACTGGGGTCTACATCAACGGAGAAACAGCCCAGAGACGGGTGGAGCCCTAAAGGCGAGGTTGGAGCAGGACTACAGTGAAAAAGAGGACAGTATATCAGTGAAGGAGAACAAGGGCCCTGAAAGACAGCAACAACCCTAGTCTAAGAGGGCCCTGAAGAGCCACAAGGGTCTTGGCAATGGTGATAAGACAAGGGATTAAGGTTTAAGGTCTTGGTGATGCTTAAGAGTGGGGGGTAAGCAAGATGGGATAGGGGATATGGAGGTAAGGAAGGAAAAGTCGTAATGGACTCGTTAGCTGGATGAGGGGCGGTTTCCGTCTAGAAGGCTCAGAGTCATTTGACAGATCGGGTACCCAGGTCTGAAAGGAAGGAATGAAACACGGCAAGCCGACAGTTAATTCTCCACCACGGTGGAGTAATCGATGCGGCTCAGAAAGGTAAGGTAAGGACTGTAAGGTTAGGAAATTTAGGAAGGCCATAATGCTGAAGGGGCAGAAGGGTCGGAGAGGTTAGAGAACGTGCTCTTTCTAGATACTATAGCCATATCTGGCAGATTCGGGCAGCGGATCTGAGAGGGAAGAGAGAGGCATGGCAAGCTGACAGTCAATCCTCCATTAAGGTGGAGTAATCAATGCTGCTCAGGGGTCCTTCGGTCAGACGGAAGGAAGCGTGGAGTGTCATGATTGTAACGTTTATTCCGACTTGCCGGGGGAATAAAAAAAAAAAAGAAAAAAAAAAGAAAAAAAAAAAGGAACCGGACTGATGCTCCCCAGAATAGAAAGGAGCCAGGATCATAAGGTCCTGTTATTGTTTAAAAACAAACAAAATTGTACTAATTTTGTAGTGATTCTGCACTGATGCAGCTACTTTCTGCAACTAGAAAATACTTCTGAAAAACCAACCTCATAATTAACAATGGTTGACTAAACGCTAGTGAAAATCTTCGGAGCTGTCTATGACCAAGGCATATCGATAATTTAACTTAATTAATTATTAATTAATTATTAATAATAGAAAAACAGGAATTATTCTTCGTGCTAGCATTCCTTACACTTTCTTCCTCTTCTGCGTGTGATTTCCTTGTTCTTTTTTCTTTTCCTCTGCCGGTGTTTCGTTGCACAGAAGAAGGGTCGGCAGCGCGAGCCCGACGAACTTACTAGAAGGCAACAGATGCAGCGGCAGCGGCAGCGGGAGTGGCAGCTTGCTCATGCGCTGAAGGATCACAATTGGATGCCGATGTCCATACTACGCTCTCAGCCCGTTAGCGCACACTACCTGAGCCATCTGCGGCTTATCCAAGAGGAAAGACGTCAGGATATGGAAGCAATGCGGAACTCGAAGTGTGGGCCTGTAGGTTATGAATGGTCGCATTGGGCTGACTCGTTCTCACAAACGGCACGCAAGCAATGGCTCCAAGGACTCATTGACAGCCGCCGGCTTCGCGCCATGAAGCAGGCACTATGGCCCCAAAAGAAGAAGGACCAGGGAGCTCTGACACGACGCTCTGTTTCCGAACTGAGCTCCTGCTCTTCTTCTCAGATCTCGACGGCCTTCCCAGCCAAATGGGGCTGTGTCGTCTTTTGCTCGAGTTGCATGAGGGGCGAAGTTCCACGATCAGTCGAGCTTCGGCAGTCAACAGGGCACCACTACAAAGTATGCGCTAAGGAAAAGTCCGAGCATACTAATCGAACGCTAGTGAAGAACACTAATCGAACACTGGTAAAGAACACAAATCGAATGCTGGTGACGAGCACGGATCGAACACTGGCGAAGACCACACAGGGTGGAGTCGTTCACACTAGCCGGCAGAGGGTTAAGCGGAAACAAGTGCTGGACACGCGGTGGCAGAAGCGAGAATCCAAAGTGAAGGGAGGCCAAGTGCGGAAACAGAGGCAGCAAAGGAAGCGCCGGAAGCAAAAGCTTGGCACCGGAAGACGCTTAGTACGAGGCAAGAGAGTTCATTCACATCCAGTTTCTGCTCCTCCCGCACCCGCGCAAGAACGTGGTGTGTCAAGCGATGTCGGCAACATAGGTCAGGATGCTACCAAAGCAGCAGCAGCAGTAGATCTCAAGCGGCGACTCAGTCTGGATCTCAAGGCTATCAAGAGTCAAGCGGAGGCCAGAGGCGCCACGAAGTTGAAGGTCTCATCCAGAAAGACTGAGTCCACCAAAGAAACCAGTCAGTCTGGAAGTCAGAGGTATGGGGATTCACACGGGAAATCCAGTAAAGCAAAGAGGCCGACCAAAACTGCTGTGATTCAACTGCCGCGATCCAGTGCTGCAGAGTCCAACAAACCGATGAAGAAGGCAGATGATAGCGCCAAGAAGGATCACAGAGCGGCCGCCGATGGTGCGAGGGAGAGGAAAGAGACTGCGAAATCAATGGGAAAGAAGGGTGGCAGGGGGGGGGGGGTAAGCCCCTCCATTTCTGACCCTGTCAAGGAATCAAATTCCAGCTCAAAAAGGGGGCAACAACAAGGTCAGCAAGGTTCTAAAAAAGGCCGTCCTCGTACGACGCGCACAGGCCGACGGAAAGTCCGGAAGCCAAAACCGTTGACTAGCAGCCCGCCTCCTCCTCGCCGCAGCAAAACGCATCGTAGTGAAAGTGTTAGTTCTGACAAGGAGGATGAAGATGCCCGGTCACACTCACATTTCGCTTCAGGCAAGCCCGCTGATAACATGAGGACGCGGTCAGAGTCGGAGAAAGACAAGCAGCGGATGCGGAAAGGTGCCAAAAGTGGGGATGGGGGTTCGTTGTCTAGAGGTGAAAAGAATAGAAGTTCTGACGATGAACAGGATGGCAAGGGCAAGGATTATGCAAGCTTGCTGTCAACGTCGTCCCAGACGTCAGATGACATCAGGGAGAGGTCAGGAAAGGGGCAGAAGCAGCTGCTGCAGAAACGGTCTAAAAGCGCGGATCGGGGTTTGTTGTCTGGTAGTGCTGGAAAGGGCAGAAAAGGAAAACAATTGTTTGCAAGTACCCCGGGGACTCCGAAACGTCTGAAGCTGGACCGTCATGGCGCTGCTGCCGATTCTGAAAACGGCAAAAGAAGTTCAAAAAGGAGGTCCAAAGCGCACGATATGGACGATACCGTGAGCTTAACTGTGAGTGAGGCAGGCAAAACGGTGAGCTTAACTGTGACAGTAGGTAGTCCCGGAGCGAAGCACACAGGTGGCGGAGAAAATGCTGAACCGGACAGCGGCATGGGTGCAAGGGATGGATCTCCTGCACCCGTTGAGATGGACAATGATGACAGACAAGGTGGCGATAATCTGACTGGCGGAGAAATTGCTGAGCTGCACAGGGGTACAGGCGCAAAGGATGCATCTCCTGGACCCATCGACATTGCCAGTGCCGACAGACAAGCCGGTGATGGTCGGACTAGTGGAGAAATCGCCGCTGAATGGGACAAGGGTACAGGTGCAAAGGATGAAGTTCCTGTACCAATTGACATTGCCAGTGCCAACAGGCAAGGCGGTGATGTTGTGGCGAACAAAAATATATTATCCAGTGCATTGCCGATCGACGTTCAACAATCTACCGTTTCATCGGGTCTATCCACCCCTGCCTCACTTCCCAACCCTCTGGGATCCAGTTCACAAACTGCAGCTCCTTTTGAAGACATGCAGGATTATGTCCAAGAGAATATTGAAATTGAGGGCGCGCAAGGTACCAAGTATGATGCACAAGGGGGTGGTAGGGGTGATGTAGGCAGCAGGCAAGGAGCAGCGGCGGAGCTTCGGTTGTCATCGTCGCCAACTGATGCCAATGCAATGAAGCGTAACAGAACTCCAAGTCAAGAAGAAGTGCTCGAGGTCCAGGACTGGAAGATGGCTCGGTTTTTCTCCTCAGCTGATGCACAGAGTCTCTCCCCCTCCCCTGCTCCGAAGACCCCGAGAAAGGTGCCGGGAGGTTTCGGCGATGCCTCTTTGGAAAGCGACAACGAGGGCAAGGAGTATGGGCAGTTTACGCTGAACACCTCTTCCTCTCCTCTTGATCCGTCGACTCCCCGATCCACGAAGTCGGTGAGACCATCGTCAAGCAACCCTCAACTCAGTGCCGTCCTTGGAAGCGACACCGAGACAGTAAGCAGTCACAATCAGAGTTCTCACACAGCCACAACAACATCTCGGAAAAGTGGAAAGAGTTCTCCGGCCTCGTTTGTGGTTCGTGTCACCGTCGATCGAGAATTGCTCTTCGCCTCGGGTCCAAGAAAGACGGTTTCTGAGGGAGCTACCCCGAGGTCCGGCCACGGAAGCACTGGAGGAGGAAAACCGGGCACACATCAAATGATCATAGATGCCCCGGGATCAGTTGCAAAGTCAGAGTCAGCGGTAGTCGTGCGTACACTCAGTCAAACTCTGAGCAGCCTTGCCGTCAGCGGGAAGTTGCCGCGAGATGAAGGGACGGAAACAAACAGTGAAGATAGGAGTGCAGATGGTGCCTCATCTTCTTCCCAGCCTGCCTTGCCAACGGAACAACTTACGCTGGCCCCACAGAATCGGCTCTATTCCGCATCCGCCCTGGGACGCGTTTCAAGAAATGTTGCTAAGGATGAGCTCCACGGTCCCAACACAAGTAGGAGTCAAGATGGTACCAGGCAATCTTATGGCACACATCCTCCCAATAGGGATTGGGATCCTCAATCTCCCTCTGCCACCTCAGGTTATGCTTCTCCGCAGATAGGAAAGCAGGAGGGCAAGAGACGCGTGCAAATCTCGGAGAAGGTTTTCCATAGTGATGGTACCGTCTTGCCACAGAAGGACATGGAGGAAGAAGAAGGTCCTTCAGAAGTGCAGTCCAGTACAAACCGTGCGCACTTCGGAGCAGAAAAGGGCGTTCAAGACGACGAGAACGAGCGACAGGGGTATGAGAGCGACTTCGAAGAGCAGTACGCCAGTGATTTTGAAAGCGAGGGTACAAGAACAAGCCATGCTACCCGAAGGGTGACGCCCTACCCCGACGCTCTAGAGATGTTGGAGGCGGAACTTGAAGATGATGAGGACCAACCTGTGTACCCCCAAAGTGCATTTCAACATGGGAGCATAACCCCTGGGAGGGTCACAAAGCGATCGCGTCAGCGGCTACAAGCAACACTGCCAGCAAGTAAATCTCAGCCGATCACTCCGCGCCAAAATTTGAGGCCTCAGAATGACTGGAAAAACAACAGCGGCTAGGTAATGTACCGTCACCACTGTGGGGCTTTGCAGTACCGGGTATTGACCCCCTAAACCAACTTCCGGGACCTCCGCACCAGCCAGCAAGGGATGTTCCCTATAGGCCTCGCTCGACTACACAACATTCTAGATGCATTAGGATGCTTTCTGGACCAGATGCATCTAGACGAGCCCAACATTATAAATGTATCAGGACGGTGCTGAGCTCCAGTGTGTTGTGTGGTGGAGCAAGGCCCTATGGGCAACCTGCTGATTACTACCATGTCCGGCTTTCAGGCTCAGATTCTGGAAGTGAGATGTGGAAGCAACCTAACGCCGTGTTCACACTGGGGCCATTCGGGACTGAATCTGGCTTTGATTCTCATCGGATACATGGATCAGCTGAAGGAAGAGTGGTGGGAAGAGCTAATGGTGGACACTGGACTCTAAACTGAGCCCCAAGGCGCCCAATTTGGCCCAAGCACTCGACTGAACTTGGCTTTGAACCCTGGGCTCGTCCCCAGCAAATATGAAGTGAAGGTTCTCTGCTTGAAAATTCCACTTAGGAGGGTGAGGCTCAACCTGTTGGGCCATTCACACAAAGCAAGGAAAAAGGTGTTGGTACTCTGTCTAATAAGACTCTACTTTTATAATTTGTACAAGCTGTTGCCTGCCACAGCTCTGGCCGGGAGCAGAATGTATATGCCTGGCTTTCTTTTACCATCTCTCTCTCTCTCTCTCTCTCTCTCTCTCTCTCTCTCTCTCTCTCTCTCTCTCTCTCTCTCT